ATGGTGCTAATAATGAGAGAGTTTGTCAAGAGATAAAGTATCTGTGCTCTCTTTGCTGCAGAGTAGTGAGGCAGAGGCTTGTCCAAACGGACAGTGTTGGAGGCAGGGTCAGTCTGGCTGCCAGTCATGGCTTTTCACTGGCATTTACAGCTGATCTTGTACCTCTGGTCTAAAAATATACAAGTTTCTTTATCTTATAAATAGCAGGAAGAACAAGAGATTTGGGAAGAGCCTCACCTACATTTCCTGGTTTATACTAACTCAGTATTCCCAAAACTGCAGAATTTGAGTTACAGATAAGATTTTGGTGCTGTATCTCAGCTTCCCCCATTAGCTCCTGTTAGGATTCAGTGAGAGCTGGCTTGGAATTCTCGAGGAAATCTTCCTTCAGTTTCTCTTCTTTCTGCTCATTGCCTGGGTCAAATCCCCTGTGGAAGTCTTGGGAGCATTAGCAGGGGAGATAATTTAGGCTGTTTGACATCAGCCTGCTGACAAATATTTTCTTTTGGGGCTCTCAAAGGACCTAAGCAAGGAGCAGAGGAGGCTGTGGCAGATGCTGCCATGTGAGGAGAACTACCCTCCATGCCAGTGGCCACACTAAGTATCTTGTGGCAATATGCAGTGTCCTTTAGACTCTGATTTTGTATCTCCAGGGTTGGATTCTTTTAGGTCTTATAGATGTAAAAATCTATAGATCTAATACTGATTTTGAGGTTTGGAGAGTTAGGTTGAACTGCATTTGTTCATCTGATTTCTCCTTGATTGATCATATCTTGTAATGAAAAAATGAACAAATATTTGGCCTCTTGTGCAGATTCTGCTCAGTTTGGGTTTGTTGGGGTTATTTCCCCCACTTTGACTCCTCTCTTGATTTAGGCTTTGAAATATCCTGGTTGGACACTCTCAATACTACAATCTTCAGTCCTATACCCAAACAAGTTGATCAGTGAGGCAACAGTTCCTTCTCTGTCCAGAAACACCAGGAAGCATGAAATGAACTTTGGTTTCATACCAATATTCCTTGAATCCTCCTCTTCCAGCAAAGCCTTTCTGAGTCAGTCACAGCAGTGTAGTGAGTGGTTGGTTTGCATACCATACAGTTATTAGTTTGTGCTGCTCCTCACCCTGTGCTGACCTGTCAGGAGCAAAAAATAAACCTGAAACTCAGACGGTGATTTACTCAGCATTTTGCCTGTGTTGCCTCCAAGGATATTGTTTGTTATGATCTAATATTTTCTATTAATACTTTGAGAAGGAGGATAAGCAGCACTGGAGTCAAAAGTGATGTTCATTTTGTTAGAATATGTATATTTTCTTAAAAACTCTTTGCATTCCTGAGCCAAGACCCAATCCCTGGCAAGGCATGTGCTCATTCCACCCCCTCATGGGCAGCGACACCTCCCACCAGCCCAGGGTGCTCCAACCCCATCCAGCCTGGCCTGGAACACTCCCAGGGATGGAGCAGCCACAGCTGCTCTGGGCAACCTGTGCCAGTGCCTCAGCACCTCACAGGGAACAATTCCTTCCCAGTATTCCATCTGAATCTCCACTCTTCCAGTGTGAATCCAGTCCCCCTTGTGCTGTCCCTCCATCCCTTGTCCCAAGTCTCTGCAGCTCTCCTGGAGCCCCTTCAGGCACTGGAAGGCCAAGTCTGTGGAGGAACAGGTGAAAGTGGCCTTGAACAGTTTCAGGATCATATGTTCATAGAATCATGGAATCATCAAGGTTGGAGGAGACCTTGAAGATCATTGAGTCCAACCCTTAACCTGTCACTGCTGGAACCACTAAACCATATCCTCCAGTGTCAGGTCCCGACACCTCTGAAACAACTCCAGAGATGGTGACTCCACCACCTCCCTGCGTAGGTAGGTTATATATATACTGGTGGGTTAAAATAGGCACAGTAACACACACGAATTTAGATGTCATTTGTCTGTGATCCGATGCTGGTGAAGTCCAGGTGCTCTGTTGATCACCTCAGGAGGGTCAGAGAGCAGCAGGGTAAGCTGAGGTTGCTGTCCAGAGGCCACACCAACATGCTGTATTAATTTCTGGATGTCTTCAAAAGATGTTAAGAAGTTTTTAAATAAATAGAAATCAGATTCAAAGGGGAGGAATTGCCTGGTAGAGCAAAATGTGAAGTGATTGAAAGGGTTTAGCTTGCCCAAAGGGGAAAGTGAAGGGTCTGCAGATCTGTGCAAAGTGTAAAGTACTTGGCTGTACTGAATGAGATAGAATCATGGAATCAACCAGGTTGGAAGAGACCTCCAAGATCACCAAGTCCAACCCCACCATGGTCACTAGACGATGGCACTAAGTGCCACATCCAGTCTCACCTTGAAAACCTCCAGGGATGGTGAATCCACCACCTCCCTGGGCAGCACATTCCAATGCCTGAGCACTCTCTCTGGAAAAAAATCTCTTCCTAAGATCCAACCTAACCCTCCCCTGGCAGAGCTTGAGTCTGTGCCCTCTTGTCCTGCTGCTGGTTGCCTGGGAGAAGAGACCAACCCCCACCTGACTCCAACCTCCTGCCAGGGAGTTGCAGAGGGTGAGAAGGTCTCCCCTGAGCCTCCTCTTCTCCAGGCTGAACACCCCCCGCTCCCTCAGCCTCTCCTCATGGCACTTGTGCTCCAGTCCCTTCACCAGCCTCGGTGCTCTTCTCTGGACCTGCTCCAGATATGATATTTCATCTGGATATAAATATGAACTTCTGGAAGGAGTTAAGGAAAAAGATGTCTCTCAAGGGCTCCTGACAATCATTTATTGCATTAGGTGATTTAGCATAAGAAAAGGGATTGTTGTTGGTATTGGCTTTTAAATGTACCTCCTTGAAGAACCAAAGCCAATTCTGTCAATCAGCTGGATGACCTAAGCAGTCATATTTCTTATCATCACCCTGGTTCTGCTCCATACATCATGTCATCCTCGAATTTCCAAAATACTTCATGCTGCAGGGTTCTTCCCCTGTCACTAAATCTGTTTATCCAGTATTCTTAGTCTTCCTTCTCCAGCTGTATTGGCTGTTCATCAGGTTCCTTGCAATTTTCTTCCTTGCAGGTTTTTCCTTTTCACACTTTTCACATGTTCCTGGCTCCATGTGTTCAGCTATGAGACATTTCATGAATGATCACACTATTGGCATGTGTGTCAAGTTAAGTTGATAAAGCTCTTAAGGGGTGAAATTAAAGACATATTTATACTAAAAAAAAGCTAGTTTGAAGACCAAACTCCTTTCTCTGAAGTTCAGAGGTTCTTGAAATTGGAGAGTTTTGATTCAGGTTCAATTTAGGAATGAAATTGTCTCCATCAATTCAAATTCATTGTTAATATCAGCTCTGAGGGAAGAAAATGTACTTGTTTTTCCCACTGGAGTTCTCCCTGGGGATCCATCTCAGCAGAGACCTGGAGAAGTTGAGCCAACTCTGGTGTGTTTTGGGTTTCCTCAGGAGCATGGGGGTGCCCATCTCCCTTTCCCTCCATGCTGCTGAGAACAGGTGGCCTCCTCCAGGGTCACCAAGTATATTTGGGGATGAAACTTGAGTGGGCTGAAGCCACATTGGCTGCGCTGACCACGTGCGTCATCAGGAGCTGCTGAGCCCCCTCGCTCTCACCCAGTGCTGCTCAGGAGGGACGACTGGAGAGGCTTTGCTCCAACGGATATTTACTTGGATGGTGCTGGTAAGAGCATTTTAATCGTGTTTGATTTGATTCCCTTAGAACAGCATCTTGAGCTGTGTCCCCACTCTAGTTCTTCGGGAGTAGCTGTCGTGCCTTGCCCACGGGAGTCAGGTTTGCTGTCTGGGTGATCAGCTGCAGATTGCAGGAAGAGGGAAGGACCTGGAATTGTGTTTAGAAGTGTAACTGAAGGTTCTAATAGTGACAGAGTGTATAGATTGTGTCTTATACACAGTCCCCACTTGGGTTTAATCATGGACTTTGGCCTAATTTTCACTCAACTTGATGCTCATTACTTTGAGTGACTTCATTTTGATAGTTACCAATCTGATTGAACAAATTGTTTCAGGGCTTTTTGGCAGTTTTTCTCCACGCATTGCACTAAAAAGAGACAGTATTGTCTGTTCCTATATTTAACCTGTGTTACTCGACTTCCCTTGCCTCAGAAGGAATTGCAGTTTAGGCAGCTCAACGCAACCGTCAGTTGGCAGGATTAGCTTACACGGCAAATATCCGTGGACTCAGGAGCAGCTGTTCCAAAGCCTCATCCCTCTCCCAACATTAGAAACAAGGCTGCAGGCTCTGGTGGAAAATTGTAGCTTTGCCTCACAGCAAAATCCGTGTGTTAATTATTCCTTCGCGGGGTCTGTGAGGGTGATCTGTGCCTTGTGATTCCACCAACTCTGTGGGTTTTCATCTCTTCCAGGCCTGAAGGAACAGAGAGGAAAAAGCCACAGGAGCTGAAAAAATAGAACCCAGAGCATCTCTGTAGGCTGATGCTGGGAAGACAGAAATTGCCTCATTAACCTAAGGTCACTTACAAAGATATTTATTATATTTTCTACATTATGTTTTTACTTGTGGATGAAGAGAGTAGAATATAGAGCTAAAGCTCCAGTTCCAACAGGAGCTGGAAGAATACTGTGAAATAGCATGGAATAGTCCCAGGGAAATGAGAAATCCTTCCAGTAATTTTGTTGTAATGAAAAAATCAAATTATACTTCAAGAAATCTCTTCTTTTTTAATGTCATTGAATTCCTGTATTGGTTTTTCAACCATTGGAGTGAAATATTTCTCCAAAATTGTAATTTAGATCAGTATATTTGAAACCTAATCCAATGTTTTCCCCACAACAGTCAAACAAGTGCCAGATCCCAACTCTAGTTAGCTCCTGACTAGTTACCAACCATGGCCTCAGGTGCTTTATGAGCTTCACTTGTAACTTTTCCTAGTACTTTCAGTCTTGGGCTAATACTGTTTATTCACCTCTTCATTTGTTGTGTGACCAGTGAGTGGGGAGAGACAGAAGAAAACCCTCAGAATGGAGGAAGAAGAATATGAGGAAGTTGTGGAGGTAAGGAGAACATCTGGAGGAGAAATACTGACTTCCTGCCTAGTGAATGAATGCGTTGATCACGCTGATGAGTCGTTGCTCAGGAGCAGAGGTGGCTGCTTGCTGTTTGTTCCCTGAGGGTTAGCCAGTGATTAGATAGCTATTAAATAGCTTGATCAGTAAAAACCTAACGACAACAACAACAGTTGCTGTCAGTGGAGCAAAGTCTCCTGGTTCCTGCCATAGTTTCTCAGTTTAAATAAGGACTCTGGCCATCCCACACCCACAGCACAAGCTTTTCTCATTACTCCTCTGCTTAATTATAGATGCACTGGGCCATCTCTTGTCCCTCCTGGCTCGCCCTCTGTCATCCAATCCATGCTGGAGAGGGTGACTTTGGAAGCCACTTTCTAGCCCTGTGCCCACTGCAAGGCAGAAGTGAAGCAGGTTTGTGCCCTCAAGGGACCATTAATCAACTGAACCTTGGGAGTTGCAGAGATGGAGGCAGATTTAAGTGAGAGGACAAGGGGGAATGGCTATAAACTGACAGAGAGTAGTATTAAATTAGGTATTAGGAAGAAATTTTTCCCTTTGAGGGTCACTGGAGGTGTTCAAGACCAGGTTGGATGGGGCTTGGAGCACCCTGGGCTGGTGGGAGGTGTTCCTGCCCAGGGCAGCGGTGGGATGGGATGGTCTTCAAGGTCTCTTCCAATCCAAACTAGTCTATGATTCCACAATTCTATGTCTGTGGAGTTGCCTCAGGGATTAATTTACCAATAGGTCACTTAAACTCACAGTTAGATGCAGAATTGTTTAGTCTCAGGAAATCACACAAAGCAACCTGCAGCTTGTGATTATGAGCAAATGCCACTGGGATGATGACTTTGCTGTAACAGTACATGAGGGTAACTGTGTAATCTTACCTGTTACTCTGAAACGAACTTGTGTCCTGAAACGTGAATTATTACAAGAAATTGCTCATGTCTGAGGACAAGAAGACAACACCACAAATGTGCACATCCCACACCTCATTATCTCTGCACTGTGGCAATGGACTGTTGATTTCAGGCCCCGAGTGGTCACTTTATCCAGTTCAGGTAGTGAATGAAGTAAAGGCAAATGGCTTGCTGGTTGGATTAGTTAGATGTGTTTTGGAAAGTAAGTGTTACTGCCCATAAAGTCCATTTTAAAGCCATTGTACCACCTAGTTATGATCACACCAGCTCTTCATCAAGCTTTCTATGACCACGTTACGTGTAGTTGGTCTTGTTTCCTCAGCCTTATGTGCTCTCTGCAATGTGTAGTTATGTGCTGTCAATGTTCATATATTCCAGCTGGAATTTTGGTACCTTGGGCTTTTTGTCCACACAGTTCCATTTCATCCTTTGCCTTTAATTTTCAATAACCACCTTGCTGTGACGACATCCCTCGGACAGACCAAGGTGGCACTGCCTTAGCAGCTTCCTCAGGATACGCATGGTGAGACGTTAAATAAAGGAGGAACAACAGCATTTGGCAGATTTAAGGCAGATTCAGAGTTTTCTTTACTAGAATTCTGCTTCTATATAAATCCATGACTTAAAACCTCTAAGAGTTCTATCAGAGAACTTGCTGAGGGTGCACTCAATCCACTGTCCACGTGACTGACAAAAATGTTGAACAGTGTCAGCCTCACCACTGAGCCCTGAGGGACACCACTGAGCCCTGAGGGACACCACTGAGCCTTGAGGGACACTACCAACCCCTGAGGGACAACCACCGACCCCTGAGGGACACCACTCCTCACTGGCCCCACATGGACACGGAGCTGATGAATGGAAGCCACAGGATGGGTAGGCAGGGATGTAGCCCCCGTTGGTTCTCCAACGGGGAGATGTGTTTTGGGCAGCTGTGTTGAGTTGCTGAAGGAAGAGGTTGAGTGGCTTTGTGCTGTCATGGAAGATAAGGAAGACAAAGACCTTGGTTCGTGGAAGCAAGAGGCATGAAGTGAGGAATGAGCACCAGCTGGAGACCCTGGTTCAGTGGGTGATGGAGAGAGGCTGTCATGAGGAAGAATCGTAGAGTTGTTAAGGTTGGAAAAGACCTCCAAGACTATCAAGTCCAACCTTAGACTGAGTACCCTCCCAAACCTCCCACAACCCTCTCAGTGTATCACCAAACACTTGGAAAATCCTGATTTTGGAATGCTAATCTTTGTAGTGTGGTGATCATTGTCTTCCCTCTTGTGAATAAAATTAGACAATGATCCTCCATTAATTACTTGGATGATGATTAGTTGAGGAATATGTGAGGAAAAAATTCCAGTCATTAAAGCAAAAAATGGACAGATACTCAGAATTACCAAATAACTCCATGAGTACTTATGTGCTACAGTTCTGTTTCTCCAGATTTGGCTTTAAAACAGCTTCACAGAAGCTTCAATTTGCTGATTTGGCCTAATAATGATGTTTTTTCTCTCTTCTTTCCTAGTACTACATTGAGGAGACAGTGATTGAGGAGGGAGAGCCCCACGAGGTAAGGGTCCCCGTGGTGCTGTGTGTGGTGTGCACACACATGTAATTAGCATGTAATGCTCAGTTATTCACTGTCTGTGCTCTGAGGACTGATGTTCACACTGCACACACAAATACCAGCAAACAGCTGCTGCTTAGCCCTTTGTTTCCTCTGCAAGGCCTTGCTGGGGATGATCCAGAGCACCAGTTTCCATGTGTCAGTTTATTCCCTTCACCTTGTGCCATTCCACTGAAAACTGGTGGTTTGCACATTTGTTTCATGTCCCTGGCAGCAAATATTTGGATCACCAAGGACTTATTGCCATGATTTGACATTCTGCTTACCAAATAGGTATAACCCAGTTCTCTGCTATGTTACCATGAGGTATTTCTTTTTAGATTCTGCAGAAACAAAAGCATCTTGATGTTTAATTCGTGGTGCATTTTCCTGTCTGTCTCATACTGACACAAACAGCTCTCAGAAATCTGAGTCTTGTGCACTCTCTTTCTAAGGCAATTTGGTATGAAATAATCATGTTTGATAGGAAATGAAACGTGACACTTATTGAGGTGGTTTTGGAGCACATTTTTGAGTTGTAATAATGACTTTTAGATGCTTTTCATTGGAATCTTAGCATGAAAATAATTGCTTGCAGCATCAATGTATTGATAAACAAGTACATAAACCATGGAAAGCAGTCAAATTATGCATGTAGGACAGAGGCAGCAGGAACTCCACTCTGCCAGGTTTTCTGGAGAATAATGACACGAGTTTGATGTAGAAACCAGACAGACACTTAATTCCTGGTGGGTTTTTTAGGTTGGGTGGTGTCTAGTAATCCCAGTAGGAAAAGGGTCAGGTGGAGCTGAGTAAGAGCTGAGCATCTTTCTACTACCTCAAAAAAGTGAAAAATGCTTATCCTAATCAAGTTTTCTAGCTAGAAAGCAATTAATTATTGTTTTTCTTTATTCCCAGGTGATCACTGAGGTCACTGAGACCATTAGCACAGACTTCACAGGTCCTGAAACCACAACTTACACTGTTGAGCATGATGAACCCTCTGCTGAGGCTGCAGCACCTCCAGTCAGGAAGAAGACAATACGGACAAAAGTGGATCCATCCAAGTTCTTGACACCTTACCTGGAGCACAGTAACAAAATGAAGGACCTATTCAGTGAGGTAGGTTGTCCCAGGTCTTTCATTTCTTGAGGAACACCAGTTTTAAAAACATATCATAGTATGTTCAGGGGGTGGAATGGAGCTTAGAGATGATCCAGCCCCACCCCCTGCCCTAGGCAGGGACACCTCCCACCAGAGCAGGTTGCTCAAAGCTCATCCAACCTGGCTGTGAACACTGCCAGGGCTGGGGCAGCCACAATCCTGGCATCAAATCCCATTTGATAGGGATTTGATGTAGTTCTTGGTGGACAATTAGACTTGATTATTTTAAAGGCCTTTTCCAGCCTTAGTGAGTCTATGATTTGATAGTTAGATTGCAAATAGCTAAATTTATCAATACTAAGTTCCTACAGAGAATATAATCATTTAGAAGTGATTCAAATCAGCTAAAGGTACAGATGGGATTTTTCCTACTGTGTATCAATTGTATTGTTGAATAACTGCCCCAAATTCCTGTCCAAACCAGGCAAAGAAATCAATAATTGCCATTAGATTTCTACCAGAGCTTTAGGAAATGTTTTAATGATATTTGTCATTGTTTTCTTCCAGAACAAGTACAAAGAGAAATTTATAAAGGAGAAAGGAAAGCCTTATGCATCCACAATTGATACCCCAGAGATTCGCAGGATCAAGAAGGTGCAGGACCAGCTCAGTGAGGTAGGTAACCATGGGATGAGAAAACAACATTTAGTGAGTAGTAAAGAAGAAATGAAGTAAAATTTAAAGTATGGAATAAGAAGTGATAATTCCAACCAAGCTGCATGAGTCCCATGAGGAGAGGCTGCCCAGGGAGGTGGTAGATTCACCGTCCTTGGATGATGTCAGTCTGTGCTGCAGAATAAACGTGTTTGCTGTGCTGTGCCCCAGGTGAAGTACCGTATGGCTGGGGAAGTCGCCAGAACCATTTGCCACGTCGATGAAAAGTCCATGGATATAGAACATGCAAAGAAAGTGTCACAGCAAGTGAGCAAGGTGAGAGTTCTGACTTTCTGAACGCTAGTGGCTCATGAAGTTGCTGATATGAATCAAGTCTGGAGCTCAGGGCACTAAAGCTATGCTGACAGAACAGTTTAGTGGCACAGGGAGGGAGAGCAGTGAGGTTGGTAAAGCAATAAATATCTTGGAGTTTTCCATTTGCTGTCTTCAAATGTCACATGGTCTGGGACTTACTGTGGATAAATCCTTTAGAGCAGGTAGTGTTCACAAAAATAAATGTATTTCTAATGGTAGAGTGACCAACTCCTGGTCTTTCCCTCCAGGTGTTATACAAACAGAACTGGGAGGAGAACAAGGACAAGTACCTCCTTCCCCCTGATGCTCCAGAGCTTGTGAATGCAATAAAAAACACAGCAATGTTCAGCAAGGTAAGGAAAAATCATCACAGGTATAAGCAGCTGTGGTGGAAGAGGAGAGGCTAATTCATGTTGAGTGTTCTCGAATTCTTCTGGTTTTTAGAAACTCTACACTGAAGACTGGGAAAGTGACAAAGGACTGTTCTACCCCTACAATGACAGCCCAGAGCTCAGAAGGGTGGCACAGGCTCAGAAGACTCTGAGTAATGTAGGTATCAGAGCAGACACTTGTGTGTAAGTACCAAGGACAGTTGGGTTGCAGCATAACTTGGTACATGCCGTGGTGGACTTGGACTAGACATAAAAGCTTCATAATGGAAGAGAAAATAAACATGTGTAAGTGTGCACTGATAGTATTTAACAGAGAAATATGCACTCAGTATTAGGGTATAAATCTGTTGGCAATTTGGTGCCAGATTGGGAATGAATGAAATAATTCATTAATTAAAGATCTTCTGCTCTTCAGTAATCAGTAAGAAGGCATTAAGAAGCTCTCTCAATGCATGGAGAAGCTCTCAGGGCTGGCTGTAAGCTCAGCTCACTGCTGTGGGGCTGCAAATCTGTCTGAACAGTGGTGAAAAGGTCAGGAATTGGATACACAGAACTCTTCAGTCAGAGAGTTCAGGTCTCACTTGATGATTTCAGCACCTTTTGCAGATGTTCAGAGTTTCACTGGTCGTGCACTGGCTGAAGGAGCCTGTGCTGCAGTAATGGTGTTAGCAGAGTTCAGTGTGGTGATGCTGAGGTTGGTGCTTACTGTGAATGTTGACTTCTTTCATATCTTCAGATTGTCTACAAAAAAGGACACGATGAAAGGATGTCTCAGTTCACCTCTCTGTCAGATCCACCTGATGTGGAACAAGCCAAGAAGGTGACAAGGCAGCTGAGTGATGTGAGTAGAGTGCAGTGCTCTCCTCCCTCCAGAAACCTCACTCTTGGAGGTAGGGAGACAAAAAGGGCCCTAAAGCATTGGAAAGCAAAAGAAAAGAAACACAGGAAGAGCAACCTTTGCTGAAGAAACCAGAACCAGGTTACACAACCTTGCAAAGCAGAAGTAGGATATTTCCTCTACTCAGAACTTAGCTATTAGCTGTTCATTATGAAAAGGACAGGCACAATTTTATGTTCTTGATTTTATTGTGTACTGGGAATTCTTTGCTTTTGGAGAATCAAGAGTTACAGGATTCACTTCTGGTTGCATAACCACTAAGAGAATACTGAGCTGAACCCATTGGGAAGGAGGAAGAATTTCATTTAGAGAAGGTTTCTTCAATCTTATCCTTCCGTAGCTAAATTGTCATCAAGAAAATGTTTAAACATTGAAAAAGTAAGATAGAATTCCTTGAAGTGAATAAAAGAATAAGCTCTATAGGTATCTCCAGAGCACCAAAATGTGGCATTTTGAAGGTTATTTTTGGCATATATGTTCTTTATCAATGTGACAACAATGAACAAGGCATGGGAGAAGTATTTTTTGTGGTAGGTAATGCTGAAAGGCTGAAATTGCACCTGGAACATGAGTTACAGCTCAGAAAGGAGTTTGGTTGTTAGACGAAGTGTTTAAACGGTTGATACTTGATCTGTGTGAGCTTGGATAAAGTCTAATACAGATCACAAACGTCATCTATTACATGGGTTTGACCAGCAGCAATAACTATGTGACCAGTGAGAAAACAGAAGTGAATGAATATGTTAGTGAGGTATCACAGAGAGATTCTCTTATTGATAGCCTTCTTAAAGGGTTGATTCATTTCACCTCTTTATTCCTATTTTTAGTCAGAGAAGGAATAAAAGAAAAATAAATTAGTACTGAGATGGTTTGGCTAAACCACATTGGAAGTGGTTTTGGTAATAACTACTAAAGTGGTTATAAGGCAGATGTAAAACGTGAAGCAACTTTAAACACAACCTGGAGCAACAAATCTGTCGAGTGAAAATGGAGCTGTGTTTTGGGGACTGAACGTTCCTGGTTTGTTTCCTTGTAGGTTATTTACCATGAGGACTATAAGAACAAAATCAGAGGCAAGTGGAGCCAAACTCCTTGCTACGATGTGGCAATTGCCAAAATGAATGCAGAAAACCTAAGTATGGTAAGTGAGTTCTGCAGGGAATCTCCAGCAGCTTTGTCTGTTTGTGTTAACATGGGAAACAGTGATGAAATTTGCCTTCTCCTTTCCTAGATAAGCTACTTCATGGATGTCTCATGTATAAAGTGCATTTGACATGTTGTTTTCTGTCTCTGTTCCCAACAGAGAAAATACCAGGAAGACTTTGAAAACATGAAAGACCAAATCTACTTCATGCAGACTGAAACTCCAGAGTATGAGGCCAACAAGAAAGTTTCAGACAATGTCAGTAAGGTGAGTTCTGTGTGTTCCTCTTGTTTGGCCTGAGAACTGTTCTGAAGTCAGGCAAGTCTCTGCTGAAACTATGTTGTCAAGACCTTTCCTGGTCTTTTGCCACCATAAATCAGAGGTTAAATGAAAAGGGACATCTTTCCTGAGAAGTCCAAGGTTATATCAGACAATAGAATCATTGTCTCAGGAGGGTTTGGTTTGGAAGGGATCTTGAAAATAATCTGCTATACCTCCCACCAGCCCATGTTTCTCCAAGCCCCATCCAACCTGGCCTGGAACACCCCCAGGGCTGGAGCAGCTACAGCTGCTCTGGGAAGTTATGCAGGTAAATGACCATTTTGCTTTTCATAGTGATTTTTAAATCCTCACCCTTTATGTTTTCCAGGTCAAATACAGAGCAGACTACGAGAAGAAGAAAGCTATTGCAGATTACAACGTGCTTCCTGCTACAGAGAACCCATTGCTGAAGCAATTAAAAGTGGCAGGAAATATTCTGAGTGATGTAAGTATTGCCCAAGAACAGCTCCAGGATCATCAGTCAGGTGCAGGAAACCAAACTCAGCATTTCCTCAGTAGGATTCTCCTTTGGAGCTCTTAGTAGCTTTGGTTTTGTAGATCTGTATTTGTCATGAGAGCAACCAGAGTGGTTGAGGCAAGGAGTGATTTCTCCTCAGATCAGTGTAGCAATAGCAGTGGAGAGCTAGTTATTGTACAGTTCATTTACATCCCTGAGAATAATGGATCACAAGAGGACAGTTCTTCCTTTACTGTTTTAAAGAGCTTCAGCTAATTCCAATGATGATGTATATTCTGGTTACTCACCATAATCACCTTCTTGGTCTCTCTCTTCTTGCTGCTTTCATCTGGGTGGAAAGAGATTATATTTCTCAGTGTCAGAAAGTCAAAACCCACTAGTCAGACCTTTCTGTCTTCCTTTGCTAACCTTGAGCAGCGAGGCTGGTGAAGGGACTGGAGCACAAGTGCCATGAGGAGAGGCTGAGGGAGCTGGGGGTGTTCAGCCTGGAGAAGAGGAGGCTCAGGGGAGACCTTCTCACCCTCTGCAACTCCCTGACAGGAGGTTGGAGTCAGGTGGGGGTTGGTCTCTTCTCCCAGGCAACCAGCAGCAGGACAAGAGGGCACAGACTCAAGCTCTGCCAGGGGAGGGCGAGGTTGGATCCTAGGAAGATATTTTTTCCAGAGAGAGTGCTCAGGCATTGGAATGTGCTGCCCAGGGAGGTGGTGGATTCACCATCCCTGGAGGTTTTCAAGCTGAGACTGGATGTGGCACTTAGTGCCATGGTCTGGTGACCATGGTAGGGTTGGGCTTGGTGGCCTTTCCAACCTGGCTGATTCTATGATTCTAATAGTCACTAAAAAGTTCTTTAAGAAAATCATTGGGAAATAATTCCATCTGTTTTTCCATCCTGTGGGAAAGCTTTTCTTTGCAACCTTCTGAGTTTTACTCCTGCCATGCTGAACGTGCTGTGGGTGAGCTGAGGGAAATCTCTTACATTGTCTTTCTCTTGCAGAAATTATACAAAGAAGCCTATGAACAGTCCAAAGGGAACAGCATGAATTACTGTGACACTCCCAAGTTTCAGACTGACTCTGCTCTGAAGAACTTCAGTGATGTATGTATCTGATTTGTGTCATGTCCTTCAGTCCTGAGTCTGTATCTTGGTTACTTTTGCTTATCAATTTGGGATTATTTTTCCAGGTAAAATATAAAGATGCATATCAGAAGAACATTTTAGGACACTACTTGGGCAGCTTTGAGGACCCACATCACACCCACTGCATGCAAGTGGAAGCTATGAAGAGTGATGTAAGTTCTGTTTCCCCCATCACACTTCCAGTCCAGAGAAACCTCAGCTGTGGCTTCATATGGAATGTTTTTGTTCCTAGAAAAACTACAGGGCAGATTATGAGGAGGAAAAGACAAAGTGCTACTTCCCTCAGACCATAACTCAGGAGTATGAAGCCATTAAGAAGTTGGAGCAGTGTAAAGATGTAAGTAGAGCAGAGTTGTGTTAGCAAGTGGCCAAATATATCCCCAGGATCAGCTGCTGAGGCACAGAGAGATTTACTGAGTGACTAACGTCACATGTGACTGGAAAACCAACTTCATCTCTCTCTCAGAACCTCTTGTGACATCTAGTGATCAAGGCAGGTGTAGCACGATCTCTTCTAACACGGAAGGCCATAAAGTTAGAGGAATAGTGCCAAAATGAAGACTGAACCTCAAGTATTTACCTGCTTAAGTCAACATATTTTTGCATTAATGATTTAAAAGTACTTAAGTCACCTTATTAACTATTTTATTTACTTCATCAATGCTTGGGAAACACTTTGTGTGCATTTTCTGCCAATATATTTATTGTCTCTCTTCAGCACACCTACAAAAAACATCCTGACCAGACCAAATTCACTCAAGTGACAGACTCTCCAGTACAGAAACAAGCAGAGATCAACAGCAAACAGCTGAGTGATGTAAGTAAACTCAGAAAACCTGATGCTACACTCTGACATCCTCAATTTCTGCCCTGTGGCCATGCTCACTTTGTCATGCAGTGGTAAGAGAACTCCTGCAGTGAATATCTAGTTAAATGTGTGTGTTGACACATTGTATTCTGTTCCAGCAGAAAATCACCTGGAAATCAGATTTTCTTTAGCTTTTCCATTTCCTATCCATAAATATTGGGCTGCTAATTTTCTTTCTTCATTTTTCCTCACAGATAGCTTACAAATCCAAAGGTGAAGAGATGATTCACACGTACCACCTCCCTCCTGATGTGCCTCAGTTCATACAGGCTAGAGTCAATGCCTACAACATCAGTGATGTGAGTGCACTTTGCATCTGGAGCTCTTGATCCAACTTATTCTTGAAATATCTGTTGGCTGGAAACTGTTCATTCAAAATTCACCTTTTCTTCTATAACTGCTGCAAAATGGGATGGAAGAATTGAAGTCAAGGGGTTGTGATCCAAAAAGTGATGCTGTTCCTATCCTGTGTGAAAGGCACAAGCTCTGAATTCAGTTAAACTTGCACTTTTGTGCTTGTGAAGCAAATTTTAAGCTCTTTGGGCAACATAAACACATTTCAGGGTTTTATTGCCAGTCTAGATAGCCAGAGTGAGAAACCCAGCAGGATATTATCCAGAGTCCTTTGGGTTTGGAGACGTAAATCATTTACCTTTATATCAAACCCATTGCATAGACCAACAGGACATGTTCTGTGTGGTGTTCTCTGTGTGTTGTTTCCTGCTGCTTGACTTGCAAAGGGCATGAACTCATCCAGTGGGGAGATAGGAATGCCTTTTTCTGCCATTCAGCTGCTACTCTTCCTGCTTTCCATCCCTTCCATCCAACACTATCTCCACTCATAGTATCAATTTTATTGCCTTTATGCCATTCAAGTTTTAGTGGCATTATCAGCCCTTCCAGGCACTAGGTAAAACCTGAGATCCCCTTTAATAGCCCTAGAATGCCAACAGGCTCTGATAGCACAAAAAGTCCAGATGGTTTTGCAGCAGGTGGCTGCTTCTTTCAGTCATTTAAGACCTCAAGGCCTCTGCGTTGGAAGCTGAGAGGAAAGTGCATCTGAAGGTTCAGGCAAATGAGAAAAGACTTTGATTAACCAAGGAAAGTGTCCCTGGTGGAGTTGTTCCAAATACAAAATGCTCAGGGAGTTAATGATTATAGTAGATTTATTTATCAGATCAGATCTGTGGTTTATGTACAGGTTAACATTTTACCTTGGGCTTACACACACTAAACTGAATATTTTGATTCCTATTACTGCAATAAAAATATTGGCTTACACACTGTTAAAATTGCTACTCCTGACATTGCAAACTGTTTGTTTTTTCCCCCCTCCAAGTCTAACTACAAAGCAGACTGGAAGAAGACCCTTGCCAAAGGATATGACCTGAAACCAGATGCCATTTCTATCATTGCTGCTAAAGCTTCTCGGAACATTGCAAGTGATGTAAGTATCATTTCCATCGAGTGGAATTCGTGCACTTACTGTGCTACAGCTTCCTGCAGCATAGCACAGAGTCACTCAGGTTGGAAAAGACCTGAGATCACTGAGTCCAACCTGGGACCCATCACCACCTTGGCAACTAGAGCAGAGCACTGAGTGCCACGTCCAGTGGTTCCTTGAACTCCCCCAGGGATGGTGACTCCACCACCTGCCTGGGCAGCACATCCCAGTGCCTGACAGCCCTTTGGGCCTGACAGCCTCTGTGCTATGGGTATATAATGGCATTGGGATCCAGTCTGAGAATTGAAACTCATGTGATACTGGGGAATAACAGGTGAATTCAGATGTTTGCCTGAACCTCTGCAAACACTGTTCCTTCACAAACACCTCACACCCTGTGTGGTGCTGCTGAGCTGAGGCTGGTTGTGTTTCAAGTACTCAAAGTTAATTTTTCATTGTATATGTATTATTCTGGTGTTCACAGCCAGGTTGGATGAGCCTTGAGCAACCTGCTCTGGTGAGAGGTGTCCCTGCCTGCGACAGGGGTCGGAACTCCTGCTCTGGTGAGAGGTGTCCCTGCCTGGGACAGGGGTCGGAACTCGATCATCTCTAAGCTCCATCCCAACCCCTTCACTTTCCATGATCATTATTTTTTTACCTAAATCATCCTGTGCTGTCTGAAAAAACAACTTATGAGTTTATAGGATGAGCTGCAGGTGCTAAAATACCAAGTTTCACAGTATTTAAGTCCTCCAAAGTACATTTTCTCTTTCCCAAGTGGTTAAGTCTCTCCTTTCCTCTGTCTCCAGTACAAGTACAAGGAATCGTATGAGAAAGACAAAGGCAAACAGGTTGGGTACCGCAGCCTGCAGGATGACCCGAAACTGGTTCACTACATGAACGTGGCCAAAATGCAGTCGGACCGCGAGTACAAGAAGGATTATGAAGTCACCAAGACCAAATATCACACCCCCCTGGACATGTTCAGCGTAACAGCTGCCAAGAAAGCCCAGGAAGTGGCTACAAACACTGGCTACAAACAGCCAATTCACAACTACACCCTCCTGCCTGACGCTGTGAACCTGGAGCTCTGCAGGAACGTGATGCAGCTGCAGAGTGATGTATGGAGCGATGAATCAGTGCATTCTTTTCTTCTCATATTGGCTGTGTTATGTTATTAACCTTTTGAGGCTAAAGATACAGCTTATCTGATGCAGTGTGTATCATATTGGATTGACAGTGGGTTGGGATGTAAATGTCTGGTCTGGATCTCTCTGTTTTCCAAAGGTTGTCAGGATAATGTGTCCCTGATAAGCTCTAGGGAACCTGCTTGGCAGGTAACAACTTTATATCCCTACATGTTTGGCTAATTCCCGGCAAATAAGTAAGTTTTTCTAATTAATGTCTTTTTCTAAGTGCAGTGTTTTATTACTGTGGTATTTTTGATTTCAGGTTATGTACCGGGGTTAAACACTGTTATACTTAAACCTTATTTAAGTCTAAATTTTCCCCCACAAATGAACCACCTGTGTTCATGCATATAGATGTTATGATTTTCCTCATCTCACTCTGTTCTCCTTGTGTATTTTTTTACAAGAACGTGTACAAATCTGACTTCAATAACTGGCTGAGAGGGGTTGGCTGGGTGCCCATCCAGTCACTGGATGTGGAGAAGGCCAAAAAGGCTACAGAGATCCTCAGTGAGAAGAAGTACCGTCAGCACCCTGACCAGCTCAAGTTCTCCATCCCCATGGATGCCATGGAGCAAGTGCTTGCTAAGCAGAATGCCAAGACCATGAACAAGGTGAGAAGTTGTTCAGATGATCATGGCTGAGCCATAGGTTGGGTCTTGCTCACGCTAGATTGGGCTAGGTGATTCCCACTGAAGTCATTACAGTTACAAGTGAGTTTAGCTGTTTTTTGGTTGAGATTGGACACTAAGAGGTGATGGAAACCTCAGAGTATTCATAATTAAGGGAGTTTCCTTATCTGTTTGTAAAGATTACAGATTTCTCTTTGCTGCATGTGATTGAAGATTTCTTCTCCCAGTTCCAAGTGCTTTGGTAACCTTTGGGTTTTTCATGATCAGTGAGTTGAAAAACCACTGAAATTCTGTTGGTTTTGTACAAATTTCCTTAAAAAGTGGAATTCTTTGCATTTGTCCCTCTGGGATACCACTGATGCTTATTCCATGTTTGCCATGGAAAGAGTTTGCCTGTTCCAAAGCAGTGAGGAATGCAGACTGAAAATTCCCACTTTCAGTACTTATTAGCTCTCAAAACATACTTTAAACTAAAGAGAGGTGGAAGACAATGCTGTCCCTCAGCAGTTAGGTTTGTGAAGGTTATTCCTAGTGCTTATGGAAGTCCCTGTAAACTATGAGTTATTGCAAACGAGCAAGACAAAAGCAAACTCCTATTTTAGGAGTTCAGTCCCTTTTCAATGCTGAAAACAACTTTGTGATTGCAGAGGCTCTACACAGATAAGTGGAACCAGGAGAAGACCAGCATTCACGTCATGCCAGACACCCCAGAGATCCTGCAGTGCAAAGTGAACCAGATCACAATGAGTAATGTGAGTTACTGTGCTCCCTGGGGCTCCTGCACACAGCCAGACTTGGTGTCATTTCCAGCCCTGTAAATTCCCATGTAGGGCACTTGACTAGTTCTGCATCCCTAACACCTGTTCTCTTTTCCCTTTGGAATTAGAAACTGTACAAAGCTGGGTGGGAGGAAGACAGGAAGAAAGGTTATGACTTGCAGCCTGATGCTATTTCAATCACAGCAGCCAAAGCCTCCAGAGACATCGCGAGCGACGTGAGTTTGGTTGTGTGACACCTACACTCAGTACCTATGTTTAAAGCACTAAACCTGAGACCTTGTGATGTGTTTTCAGTGATAAAACTGAACTCAACAGTGCCTTTTTTAACTGAAGTTCTTGCTGTTTTCCAGTACAAATACAAACTGGCCTACGAGAAAGGGAAGGGGAAGCACATTGGGTTCCGCAGCCTGGAGGACGACCCCAAGCTGGTGCACTTCATGCAGGTGGCTAAGATGCAATCAGATCGTGAATACAAAAAGGACTATGAGAAGGCCAAGACTAATTTCCACACTCCAGTTGACATGGTCAGTGTTGTGGCAGCCAAGAAAGCACAGGAAGTGGCCACAAATGCAAACTACAAAAACCTGATCCACACCTACAATGTTCTGCCTGATGCTATGAGCATTGAGTTAGCCAAGAACATGATGCAGCTACAAAGTGATGTAAGTAAGAGATTCTTCAAGCTGTGAATTGCAAATACCATTGCTTAGTCTATGAAAAAATACTGTAAGATGAATAGTAGTATTTTCTGAGTGAAATTAGTGAATGAATACTAAAATGTAGTCAGCAATTAGAGCTGTTTTACTCTTCTTAGACTCTGAAATACTAATTTACACCTATTGCTAAAGAATTTGAGCTGAGAAATAAGTAATTTTATGAAAGTAAAGTGGATATTTACTCCTCACATATCCCATCAGGCTCTTCAGGAGCAGTAGTGGTGTGCAGACAACACAGGAAAAGCTTCACTTCTAATTAGCAGTTTTTTTCTTGTACTTCCAACTTCATAAATAGAGAGAAGTGTCATAATTTGCAGATTTCTTTCTCGTCTCTGATGTTTGTTTCTCTCTGCCCCCAGAACCAGTACAAAGCAGACTATGATGAAAGCATGAAGGGTGTTGGGTGGCTGCCACTGGGCTCCCTGGAGGCTGAGAAGAACAAAAAGGCCATGGAGATTGTTAGTGAGAAGAAGTATCGGCAGCACCCAGACAAGCTCAAGTTCTCTGTCCCCATGGATTCCATGAACATGGTCTTGGCTTTAAACAATGCCAAAATCATGGATGAGGTAAGAAAGTGCTCAGCAAGGTCTGTTGAAGCTTGCAGAAGTGATAAACAGACTCTGCCTGATGTAACAGTCAATGTGGAGCTTTGGGAATCTTCATTTTGCAGCTAATAAATATGCTCCAAGTGCTAAGACAAACAGCTAAATGCTCCTGCCATGTTAGCAGTCACAGCATTGCAAGGACAGGTTGTCTTTCAGTAGGAAATGGTCTTTGAAATTGTCTTATTTCATGAAAAGAGATACTGACATTTTGTTTTCATCCTTCCAGCACAAGTACAAACAAGCATGGGAGGAAGACAAAAAGAAAGTTCACATCACCACAGATATTCCCCAGATTGCCTTGGCAAAGGCAAATGCCTTTAATATAAGCGAGGTGAGTCTGTAGGGCTGTGACCTCACTCTGATGTTTGCATGAGGAGCACATGGGATAACAGGATGCAAAAGTCTCCGTAATTCTCACTTTACTAACCTGTAGTGATTTCCCAAAAAGCTGTTAATTCTCCTTTTCTCTGCTTCCTTCCCCAAATCAAATGCCAAAAGTTGCCAAAAATGCATAGTATTTATGGTCACCTTATGAAGAGTTCAGGTATGTCATTAAGATGCACAAGTTGCTGACAACATAGTGGAGTCTGAGTACTGTTCATGTTGGTTATTTATAATGTTATTATGGGTTATTTTATTTCCCCACCACAGTTTTGTGTTGGATTCACAATTTTTGCAGATCACACCTGTTCTTTGGGTAACAAGTGACTTCATAGACAGGTTTTGGTAGCCACTGATGTAATATACATGTGCTCAATGAACCTCTGGTTGCAATTCTGCACTTCTTTTATGTGTATAGACAGATCTAACCCATTAGTTTTAAGCTGACATCCTAATAGATGTAACTCTTCACCAAACATGTGGCAAACATGCAATTTCTGGCCTTTTCCAGTATGTTTCTTCTTGTTGTTACAGAAAATGTACAGGTCTTCCTTTGAAGAGTCCAAGAAGAAAGGCTATGACCTCAGGGCTGATGCTATCCCCATCAAAGCTGCCAAAGCTTCCAGGGATATTGCTAGTGATGTAAGTTCTTCAGGGGAAAAAAAATGCTCCATTTCAGACATGGCAAAGCCTTCATTTCTTGGCACAGTTCAATTTTATATGCTGAATGTATGAAGTTTCTTTATTCTCTGCCTTGTAAATATTTGACATATTTGATATACAGCAATCTATAGTATACATAGTGTGTATATATGTAATATACATTATATACATAACATCTGTAGTATATATATAATACATATTTTCTGGTAGGGGTAAAGGTCAAGTTTTTTTCTAGAAAGGTAAAGACATATATGAAGGTCTCAGGAAGAATAAAAAAAAAGCGGTTTCATTCCTCAGCGTGATGATGTTTGGATGCTTTATGTACATATAGGTGTTGCATATTTGTGTTTAGACAGAATATTCAGAGATCATCCTTAGGAAAACTTGAACCAAATATAGATTTAAATTCTTTTACTGCTGTGGTACAATTATCTCTAAGTCCCATAAAATTTCTTGGTGCAGGGAGTACAAACTTTGGGACTCAGGAATGTTCTGGAGTCCTTTGTGAGGCAGTGCTGAGGGAATTGCTGTGCTTGGAGCAAATCCAGGCTGAGGGAGGGGGTGAAATTAAGGCCCAAGGATCTGGTTTTTACCCCACCCATGGTTTTTGACAACATACAGGATGTTGCAGCCACTCTAAAGTCAATTTGTTTTGCCACTGCTTTAAAGCTGAGGGGAAAATACTTCCATTCTGAGCTCTCTCCAAGCAGTGAAGGAAGAAGGAATTGATAGTCTGTGTAGTTCATTGTCCAGCATTGATTAGGGACTGAGGAAGGAGTTAGGAATGTGAACTATTGGCTTTATTGAACAAAAAAACCCCAAACCATGCAAAAGATCTTGGGAAGTGTTTTGAATTTTTGGATCTTTTGGACATGTGGAAGTCATGGTGACATCTCTGATTTGCTAGTTAGCCTTCAGAACTCAGAGCATGGTGCAGACTGAGCCAAATGTTGGAAGCAGGATAGCAGTGGTACAGAGAACTGAGTTACTGTACCTTGGTTCTAGAGTTTGATACCTCATCTTAGAGCTGGTGTTGGGTATCTCCAGATTATAGTGTGAGAAGAATAAAAGTCCATATTTCCCAAAGATCTGTGAGCAGCAAAACCAGCCCTGATGTGTTCCTTTGCCTGGTGCCCTCTGCCAGCAGGATTCACATATTCACTTTATAATGAGATGAGAAAGAAGTGAAACCTCGGGGTACATTGAACCTTGCGCAGGAGCACAATAAAGTATCTTAGGGAAAATTAGTTTATTAAGAAAGTGGTTTAATATCCTACTTTTAAAGGGACCCCAGGCATGAGTTTTGCTTTGGAGTGCACCCTCAGAGTCAGTGGTCAAAGCCACCACCTCTGTATGCTCTGAACAATGTAAAAATCTGATTTTAGTCTAAGTTTGAGTGGTTTTTCTTATAGATATTGCTTAATAATTGAATTAATCATAGAATGGGCTGGGTTGGAAGGACCTTAAAGCTCATCCCATCCCACCCCCTGCCCTGGGCAGGGACACCTCCCACCAGCCCAGGCTGCTCCAAGCCCCATCCAGCCTGGCCTGGAACACTCCCAGGGATGGAGCAGCCACAGCTGCTCTGGGCAACCTGTGCCAGTGCCTCAGCACCTCACAGCCAGGAATTCCTTCCTAACATCTAATCTAAAGGAATTAAAGTCTCTGTTTCTGCTCTCTTGCAGTATAAATACAAGTTAGGTTATGAACAAGACAAGGGAAAACTCGTAGGCTTCCGCAGCCTTCAGGATGATCCCAAACTTGTCCACTACATGCAAGTGGCTAAGATGCAGTCTGACAGGGAGTACAAGAAAGCTTATGAGATGGGCAAAACCCACTACCAAACACCTACCGATGCCCTCAGCGTCGTGGCAGCTAAGGAGGCCCAAGATCGCGTGACCAACACCAACTACAAACGCCTGATTCACAATTACATGCTCCTGCCAGATGCAATGAGCTTGGAACTGTACAGAAACATGAATCAGATCCAAAGTGATGTAAGTTTCTGCTTACTTTTGGGGACTTTTTTCTGTGTTTTTTCCCTAATGGCTGCATTTTGGGAAAAACAACAGGATTGTTTTGTATGAGCTGTTGGTAAACTGAGCTTCCCTTTTGTGTCCTGGTTGGCAGAACGAGTACAAGCAGGATTACAACGAGTGGTTCAAGGGTATTGGATGGAGTCCTGTTGGCTCTCTGGATGTGGAGAAGACTAAGAAAGCCACAGAGATTGCAAGTGACCGGAAATATCGGCAGCATCCCAGCATGTTCCACTTCACAAAGCAGAACGATGCCATGGACCTGGTCCTGGCAAAGCAGAATGCAAACATAATGAACAAAGTGAGTATTGATGGGGAGAAGTAGGCAAATGTTCACATATAATCCATCCCAATCCTGTGAGTCTCTGTCCCCACCTTTATGTAGCAGCGTTTCCCTGGGATAAACAGCTGCCACATGTTCCTCTTGTGTCATTCTGTTTTCTTAATGAAGCAATTCATAGATTCATAGTATGTTCAGGGGTTGGAATGGAGCTTAGAGCTCCCCCAGCCCCAAGCCCTGCCCTGGGCAGGGACACCTCCCACCAGAGCAGGTTGCTCAAAGCTCATCCAACCTGGCTGTGAACACTGCCAGGGTTGGGGCAGCCACAGCCTCCCTGGGCACCCTGGGACAGTGTCTCACCACACTTACAGGGAAAACTTCTGCCTGATATCTAAGTTTCCCCTCTTTTAGTTTCTCCTCATTGCTCCTTGTCCTGTCACTGCAGCTCCTAACCAAGTTATTGCTATCAACAGTTATTGATAAATAACATTGGGTGAAGAAATTTTTCCTCGTTTTCCTCCAACCTCTATTCTTTTTTATGGAAATTACTGGTTCTAAAAATCATGACAGTTGGATTTCATTGCAAGCAAGACCAGTTAATTATTCAGCTGATTCTGGGTTAGGTCATTACATAGTAAAATAAATCCAAGTCAGCACCTTTGTCTTTTTACCCATCCATCCCCAAAGTACACAAATGGAAGGTGAAAACCCCAAAAGAAGCATCTTGTGCCACTGCCACTGCCACATCTGATGTGCCTTTTTGCCCACAGCATGCTTACACTCAGGCCTGGGAGAAGGACAAGACTCAGGTCCATGTGATGCCAGACACACCAGATATTCTCCAGGCAAAACAGAACAAGTCCAACTACAGTCAGGTAGAGTTTGTACTTCTTCCTATTAACATTTGAAATTAATGCCTGCTGGGGATTTAGAACAGACACATGAATCTCATGGGAGTAATATTTTTGGAGTAATAAGGACCATATTAGCCATAATAATAATCAGTTTTAGGCTATCAAACTAACAGACTAAATTGCATCATAATGTATGGAAAATGTAAGTCCTGGTGTTGAAATCTGGAAGTGGTTGGTCAATACTTAGTGCTTAACACAGAAATTTTTAACGCAGGTTAAAATTCCCTGACTGTTAAATTGCAAGTTCATTGTGTATATTTTTAACTTAACCTACTGGAAAAGAAATCCATGCAATGATTCCAACTTTTCTCTCAGCTTTCAGGTAGGAAAAAGTGACAATTGTGCCAGGAAAAAATCCTCAGGTTTTGTGTTGCATCACTGCTCAAAGGCAAATCTGTGACTTGCAAGTGTCTGTACTTAAAATCAGCAGTGCACAAACTGACCTGACTATGGCATGGCTATTACTAAGACTTCTTAATTGGTATTGTTTTCCATTTCAGAAACTATACAAGCTTGGCTGGGAGGAAATGATAAAGAAAGGCTATGACCTCACACCTGAAGCCATTTCGGTGAAAGCTGCCAAAGCTTCAAGGGACATTGCAAGTGATGTGAGTGGCAGTTCTAACTCAGTGTGACACACACTTGATCTAGTTGCTAGAACGTCCAGAATCACACTAGGTTGAGATACACATCTCTGCTAAGGTGTGGTTTGGAGTCAAAACCAAAACTGCAGGCAAAACTCCTTCCTGATCTGTTCTTGTCAGTGCAGAAAATGGTTTAACAAGGCTTTCTCTGGCATCTGAACAAGCCCAGAGTTCATGGTCCATCCATGACGTGGTCAGTCATACAAAGTGAAGAGTTGTCTGCTCGTTTGGGTGTTTCCTTTTCAGAGCAGCAGCAAATTTGGTCTAGTTAGCTGAGCCTATACAAAGAAGTCCTCGTTTACAGCTCTGAACCACACACAGGGACACGTGTACTGCTGGTACTGTAACTTGGGATGAGTACAACTCCTGCATTGATGGGAGAGATTTTATTAATCATTAGGAAATATTTCCATGGCTTAAGCATCTTCCTTTTTCGTTGTTGATGATGTTATTCATCAAAAGATTTCTGTGTGTCAGCCTTGGGAAGTTCTGACCAGTGTGACTGTGAATCAGAGGAGACCATTCTTCAAGCCCTGCTCTCTTCTTCTCCAAGGACTCTGTTCTTTCCCAGGGAGAGCACTCACTGACCCCAAGTGATGCACTTTTATCAAGAGGCTACTGAAACTGTGCATGAGATGCCATAGCTAGTTGCTTATTTGTAGAATTACAGAATCCCAGGCTGATTTGGGTTGGAAGGACCTAAAACTCATCTGATTCCACCCCTGCCCTGGGCAAGGACACCTTCCACTAGCCCAGGTTGCTCCAAGCCCCATCCAACCTGGCCTTGAAAACATCCAAGCCCCATCCAACCTGGCCTTGGAAACATCTAGGGGTAATTTCATTGGTAATGAGACACATTGAACTGAGATAATATATGATATTTTGAGTGTATATTTTATCCTTGTTTGTTTCTTTCTCTGCCTTATCATTTCAGTTCAAGTACAAGGAAGGTTACCGCAAGCAGCAAGGACATCACATCGGCTTCCGCAGCCTACAGGACGATCCAAAGATGTTGTGGTCTATGCAAGTAGCCAAAATGCAGAGTGAGAGGGAGTACAAGAAAGACTTTGAGAAGTGGAAGACCAAGTTTAATATGCCCGTGGACATGTTAGGCTTCCTTCTGGCTAAGAAGTGTCAGGAGTTGGTTAGTGACGTAGACTACAAACGCATCCTGCACCGCTGGACTTGTTTGCCAGACCAGGTTGATGTCACTGAGGCGAAGAGAGTCAATGAACTGCAGAGTGATGTAAGCTTCCTCTGGGTTTAATTCACTTATTTTCTTGGAAGATGTTTAGTGCTTATTGGAAAGAATCTTTAATACCTCTCTTTTGATGTCAGTAAAGATGAGATTGAAGCTAAAATACCTGTTAGTCTTTTACAGGGTTTGATAAATGAACAGTTAAAATAACCCACTCTGGTTTTGATTTTCATCCTTAACAGAACATGTACAAGTCAGACCTGCAGTGGCTCAGAGGCATTGGCTGGAGTCCTCTGGGGTCTCTGGAAGCTGAAAAGAACAAGAAAGCTTCCGAGATACTGAGTGAGAAGAAGTACCGGCAGCACCCGGACACCATTAAGTTCACAAGTATCCCAGATGCCATGGACATTGTTTTGGCAAAGTCTAATGCCAAAAACAGAAGTGATGTAAGTTGCCTGCAGAGAGGGAACATTGGACTCAATAAATGAACACCTTAATATAAGTTTAAAATCATCTTCTTGCTTGATATGCCAATATTAGATGTTTGCAGCCAGTGCTTCAGTGCTCACTGTCACTGTGCCTTGTTCAGAAGTAGTACCTGCAAACAAGACCCTTATTATGTAGCATGGAAATGTTTTGTCTTAGTACTGTTTCCTTGGCATTACATGGGTGCAAAGAAGAAACAAAAAGGTTCTATTTCAGTGAGGAGTCATTGTATTACTTGATTTTAATGTCTTGGCTTGTTTACATCACTTACATAGTCCAACTTTGCTTTCCTAATGCAGAGAAAAGGTAAACTGAAGCTACTGCTGAGTGAGTCATGGAACAGACAAGGTCTTTGTTTGTGTCTCTTCCAGGTACTCTATAGAGAAGCTTGGAACAAGGACAAGACTCAAGTTCACATCATGCCTGATACTCCTGAAATTTTGCTGGCTAAATCCAACTTGATCAACACCAGTGATGTAAGTGTCCCTGCAGTGTTTGTTCTCTGCAATCACCAATTGTGCCCTAAGATTCAAAAGCAGCAGAGTCATTCTAAGAGATCTGTAAACACACCTGGGAGAAACTGTTATGCACTGAGAACCCCGAGGGAAATTGTTGAAGCATAAAGTGGAAGTTTCTAGAATATGCAAAGTACTAGGAAAAATATCCAACATGTTAGCAGTTTTGTGTTCCATCCCTACTGATCATGTTAACATTGAGGGTATGTTTCAGTACTGTTTAGTGAGCCTGTCAGTCTGTAAAAACATCCAGTTATTAATGCCTAATTAGTAGATCTATTGAATATCAATATCTAATTAAAATGTCTAATTATTATTGCCTCTTTAGAGGCAATCTTAAGGTTGTGTAACTCACACAAAAGTCCTGGTTATAAGGGCAAACTCCAGGCTACATGCAAAGGAAAAGAAATGTCAGCAGGTCCATGGAAGGAACTCAAGAAGACAAAAGGAATTGGGTGCAGAGAACCGTGGGGTTATATCATTCTCCTCTGTCAGAGGCTCTGTCAGTCATTCAGATTAACATACTTAGGAAAAGAAAATGTTGAGCTTGAGTGGGACAATCAGGAAACATTCAGATGGTAATTTTGGAGTGGTTTATATCATCAGTTGCAGAACACATTCATTAAAAGCAAGGTATGGAATTCAGTTTGATCAGGGGTCTATAAGGAGCTGGAGAGGGACTCTGTGTTAGGAGCTGCAGTGACAGGACAAGGGGTAATGGGTTCAAACTGAAGGAGGGGAAGTCTAGGTTGGAAGTGAGAAACAAGTTTTTACCCTGTTCTGGTGGTGAGACACTGTCCCAGGTGGCCCAGGGGGAGGCTGTGGCTGCCCCAGCCCTAGTGGTGTTCAATCCAGGCTGGATGAGCCTTGAGCAACCTGCTCTAGTGAGGAGGTGTCCCTGTCCAGGGCAGGGGTTGGGGCTGGGTGAGCTCTAAGCTCCATTCCAAAACTTATATTCTATGATTCTATGACTCTAGTAAAACTGTGTTTGGAAATTTCTGCTTTGTTTTCAATAGTCAGGGGTGGAAGGTATAACACTGAAAGTCTCTCTGGAGAGCTTTGCTTGCAGTAATTTATTCAATTCCTTCTCCAACAGAAACGTTACAAGTTAGGCTATGAAGAGCTGAAGAAAAAAGGCTATGACCTTCCTCCTGATGCCATACCCCTGCAGGCAGCAAAGGCATCCAGAGACATAGCCAGCGAGGTAAGTCTTACACAGGGAATGTGACAGAGGGGCACAGAGCAGGTACAGAGTTTGGGATGAATGTGTTTTACATTTAGGAGGAGAGATCTAAAATTGTAACACCCTTACATTGCTGCTCTCCTCCAAGGTTGTATAACTCTTAATGCTGTAAAGTTAAGTAAATTACATACCATAATTTAAAAGGTGATACCATAGAACTATAAAATATCCCTTAATATCTCCTGGACATTACATAAAACACTAAAAATATTGGGAAAATAAACAGAAAAATAAAATGTATTGGATGTGAAATGATTAGCCACTAAATTAAAAGAGCGAAATTGAAATTACAGCTGGAAAAGAGGAGGTAACTATTGTTTTTGCCTTCAATTAGTACAAGTACAAAACTGCATACAGAAAGCAGCTTGGCCACCACATCGGGGCCAGAAACATCGAGGACGACCCCAAGATGGTGTGGTCGATGCACGTGGCCAAGATCCAGAGTGACAGGGAGTACAAGAAGGACTTTGAGAAATCCAAGACCAACTTCAGTACCCCAGTGGACATGCTGGGCATTGTGTTGGCCAAGAAGTGTCAGGAGCTGGTCAGTGATGCTGATTACCGTCACCCTCTGCATCGGTGGACGTGTTTGCCTGACCAGAATGATGTTGTCCATGCCAGGACAGTGTATGACCTGCAGAGTGATGTAAGTAGTTCTTTGCTGGGTGTGTGACAACCAAAAGGGTCTCTGTGTTCTGTTCTCCATTGCTGGAGGAGGGGTCAGTGTGGCAGAGGAAAGGCAAAACAATCGAATATAATGCTATAAGGACCAACAGTGGACAAAGGCAAGTCTTGGGTGTGGTGGTGAATGGTACAAAGAGCCCCAGGAGGTGAGGTACAAACATGTAATATGTGACTGGTGGGTTGACCCAGTGGGACATGTTCCATTCTGCAGAGCTTCCCCTGCTATGAGGAGTGGCTGCATGGAGTGAGGAGGTTGCTGAGCTTTGTGTCCTTGCCTGTCCTTCCAGAACATGTACAAGTCTGACCTGCAGTGGATGAAGGGCATTGGCTGGAGCCCAATTGGATCCCTGGATGCAGAGAAGAACAAGAGGGCAAGCCAGATCCTGAGTGACAAGAAGTATCGGCAGCACCCAGACACCATCAAATTCACCAGCATTCCTGACTCCATGCCCATGGTGCTGGCAAAGCACAACTCTGACATCATGAACCAAGTGAGATTTCCTTGTCTTTGCAACCTGAAGGACATGAACACCTTCCTTTCCCAGGATGTTGGTCTCTGTCCTTTGAGGGCTCAGGTTCAGTGAGGAGGATGTTGCATCCTCTTGCCTGAGGGATTTGAGTTCCTGGTTTTAGATGAGTTTCTCTTTTGTGTGTGGTTGGAGGAGTATGGGGTGCATTGTGGGAAAGGAAAGGGTGAAGCATTTGAGTGTTTTGGGGTGAGGTGTTCCTGAGTCAGTGCAAAGTAGAGGTCCCTTGATTTGGTTCATTGATGTGATTTGTTCTTTGGGTTTGTTGCCCTGAGCCTGT